TTTTTTTTTTTTTTTTTTTTTTTTTGGATCTCCCAGCCAATGCATGGAGTTTCATTGTGGAGACAACAAAATGTAAAAGAAATATATAATATATGTATATAAAAGAAAGATAAACAAATGTTAAATTGGTCATTTGTCAGGTTTTTACATTGTGTTTCCTTTCTGCCATTTCAAAGTGTTTGTGAGACAGTTCCTCCTCTTCCTCTTCCCTGCATTCTGAGTCTGTCCGTTCAATCTCATTGGAGCCTCCTCCATGAAAAGGGGACAAACAGTCCTATTCGAATCGTGTTGGAGTGGGAGTCCTCTTGGGGCGCTGTGGGGTTTTTCCTTTTTCTGTAGTAGTACTTTCAATAGTGTTTGGCGAGAAAGACCTTTTTAGTGTCAGCAGTTTGTTCTTTATCAGCGGTGATGCGTTTTTGTTTTTCAGATTTCCAATTTTCATGACACACGTTTAGCTGTTGCTTCAGAGAGGCCTTGTCAGAGGAACCAGGACTGTGAAGAAAAAGAAAAAGAAAAAAAAAACAGAAGACATGTTTTGCTTAAGATTTTTGCACCTTCTCGGGGCATTCATATTTCCAATCAATTAACCCAATTCAATCATTACAAGCAGCATGCAGAGAAAAGCATGGCAAGGTGTGAAAAGTTATTCATTTTGAACAGAGAACATTTCACATATATACATGGGCTTAATTATAAAATAAATTAAAAGTAAAGTGAAAAATGTTACATTCACCAAACCTCAGAGGAAATCATTGTTACAGAATTAATTTCTAACTAGATTATAAGCAAAGGAAGATGAGAAAAATCGAAAGACCAAAAAAATTTCATTTAACAACACATTTTGTTTTTAGTTATTTCTAATGTATATGTATTTTTACCACTTAGTCACCTTTCTGATTGTGTAAAATGTAATGTGAACAGATGCATAACCATTCATATTTTTGTTACTTTATCTAAGTTTTCAGACACATATACACTCATACTAAGTAAAATTCAATATGCATTGCAATGAGGCTCGTTTGTAAGATTAAAAGTATCTTTTGAAACTGATAACCTTTAAGCAGCTACTAAACATACTTTTCATTAAGCACCCTCTTCAGTATGATATGTTTTTGTTTTGTTTAATTTTTTGTCATCCTCTGTAAGACAAAAATCAACATTATTAACAGAAAAAAAGACATTGTAGTCTTTGTAATCTATAAAATATATTGCACTTAATGATTTGAGGTACTGAGATAAATAAACCTTTTTATAATATTAAAATGTATCAAACATTATTGTATTTGTATTTAAGATTGAATGTTGAATTTTATTTCTGGTGCTTTGTTTATGTACCGTATTTTTCGGACTATATGCCGCTACATTTTCCCCACGCTTTGAACCATGCGGCTTGTAGCCGGTGCGGCTTTTCTGTGGATTTTTCTTCAACCACCAGGGGGCTCTTTAGCAGAAAGTGAATCATTGGAGGTCAAAATTGGAAATCAAAGAATAACGTGCTAATTTTCATTTAGAACAAGCACATGCTAGCAGCAGGCACGGAGAAATTTCTTCAAACTTATATGATGCAGCTTTTAAATTGAGGGCCATCGATCTGGCAGTATAGGAGGGAAATAGAGCCGCTGCATGTAAGCTCAGCATGAATGAAACTACGGTTCGGTGTTGTCGTGAGACAGGTTAGTTTTACCCTAATGATAATGTGTTGTTGCAATAGTAATTCTGCTCTCTGCCCTCTGCTGGGTCCTTATGGAAAACCGAGAGCAGCGGAAATACCAGCGGCTTATAGCCCGGTGCGGCTTATATATGTACGTTTCCATTATTTATTTATTTATTTTTCTAAAAGTTTGTAGGTGCGCTCTATAGTCTGGAAAATACGGTACCTTAAAAAGCAAGTAAAAGTATTTTAGGGTTAAACTCTTTAAGCAAGGCAGAATTAATACACAGCAGGATTTTCCATCAAACCGGTTCCAGGGCTACACTGAACTGAACATTGGTTAACAGACACTGGCAATCAAAAATGCTATGCTTGTCATCTTGAAAACTCCTAAACTCCTGGTTTATTTTTTAATCTACCTAATTCAAGATAAAACATTACCAAAAGGTCAGATTGGCATAGAAATAACACTAGCCCTTCTTCTCTGCTGTAAATGTTTGCCTGACATCAGCTTGTACACAGTTATAAGTGGATTAAAGCCTGATATGGCAGGTGTACTGACAAACAGCAAGTTGTTTAAACACACTTACATTTTTCTTAATAAGTAATTTGTTTTTCAGAGATTTTTACATAAATAGTAGCTAAGCCATCACTCTGAACTATGATTGTCTACAGAAATCACAATGTAACAGGAGAACGATCAAACACTTACTGGAGGACATTTTAAGAGATTGGTTGCACCAAACTGGTGTGTTATTTAAAAGAACCAGTTAAGAAGTCAGTACAACACAGGCTCAGTTTATCATGGGAACCGCTTTGGTGAAAAAAACCCAAGTAGGCGTTTTTGTGAAATAGATGAAGCATATTTAGAACCATATATTTGAATTATCCATCAACCACTAGAGGGCGACCCTCTACTCCTTTTGCAACATTAGTCGAGCTCAGCTGTCCCATTTAGTACAAAGTTGTTTTCAATTTCATACCTTCCTCTCACAGGTTATGTCACATGGGTTACTTTTTAAAATAAAACAGTTGTGTTTTTACAAAGTTAGCAGCACTCGTGTCACTATTTAGTTTTCCACTTCGCCAACAAAGGACTGTAGCGACTCTATCATTTGCTACCAGTTTACATGTAAGGTGATCCTACTACTATGTGTGTGCACTGTGGGTCAGAGTGCTCTCAGGCTACAATGTAAAGCTTCTGTGAGCAGCTAGTCCAGAGATCGGGTTTCTCAGTCTGATAAGATGGCAGAGTAGAGGCTTTGGCACAGGCCGAGTGCTTCTGGCAGCTTGTGACATTCCACAGACTTCAGCTTAAAGAGAGCAGCTACTCACCGCACCTTCAACAGGAAACTCTCTGTTGTCCCCCCCCTCCCCACATACATAAGTAAACCTTAAGAAAGTATCAATCCTCTCAAACTTCTTCATTCCCAACACATCTGTCTGATCTTGGTGTCTGTAGATAACACCTCCTTCTGCTGGCTCCACCAAGCTTTTTCCTCTCCTCTCTCTTTTACTCCAACTCTCTCAATGTAATCCTTGGCAATGGAAAGAGACCCCCCTGCAACACTTCCACCCCCCCCTTTCAAGTCCAAGTTCAACTGCCTATGACATCATGTCTGGTTGCTGCTGGCAACCAGACAGCCAGGACGTGACTGTGGAGTGCAGCGAGCTTCAACTAACTCCTCGTTTCAACTGTCCCGTTCTTTCTTGTTTTTCATCCAGGCTTCCATATCTTCCCTTCCCCTTTCCTGCATAGCTGACGCCTGGCCACCAGAGAGCTCCTCAGACCAGCTTTTGTCTGCTCATTACTCTGACAACAGTGGGAAGGCTCTCTCCTTCTGTCTTGGCTAGTTGGCTTGCAGACCTCAAGGCGGGCTGGCAGGGCCATCGTCTGAAGCTCGCCATATGCCAGAGAACAGCAGGACAGGCAGAGACCTCTGCTACTCACACAAGCTGAGGCTGGAGCTGACCTACTAGGCTCAGCTAACTGAGAGCTGATGCTATCAGTGCCTACGTTGTTACTGTGCATAACAGAAATGTACATGAAATGGCTTAAGTGCAAATTTTTAAATGCTTTTTTTTATTGACAACAAGAGAAAACTGGCATGCTAGGGAGAAGTAAGTTCTTTATTGTAGGGCACAGAATGTGGGGCAGGATTTTTGGCTCAGCGCTAAAGTGTATCTGCATACACGTTAAATCACGTTTGGACCGTGTTTGGATGTCCCCTAAGTGCCAAAGCTGCATCTGTGGAAGAGTGGTGCAGGTGGGGGGCTTGGGAAGCAGAAGGAGCTCATGGGGAACGTGGACAGATCATGCACCGGGGGGGTGGGGGCGTGCCGACCAGAAACGCAGATCGTTTCCATGTGTGTGTAGGGAGGACGGGAGAGCTGAGTTGGCTGCAGGCAGGTGCGGTTAGCCCCTAATGAGAAAAGTTGTGTTGGTGATGGAGGAGGCCCAAGACACTACAGCCCAGTGGCAGAGCATAGCCAAAGCTGAAACCACAATGTAGTGCACTGCTGGCCTCACACGCTGCACTAACACACACTGTGGGACCTTGTAGAGATAAATCAACACTGCTGGAGCTAAAACGAACTGGCATTGCTTACTCTCACTGTGGGGAATCTACTGTGGTACAGGCACTGTAAACCAATACTGAAACTGAAGGCCTTGATACATGGGCAACACTCAATGTAGCAGAGAGAGTTTGGAGAGAAGGAAAATAGTTTTTCAGCAGAAACAGAGCGGAACAAGATGGGGAAAAAGCTAAAAAGTTAACCCTCAAAGTGCCAAAGTTTAGATTTCAGAAAACCTGTGGCAAATATTATAACTCATTATCGACTTTAGCAGGCTGCTAAAACAGATCAGCTAATTAACTATTGCCTTTATATCATGGCCTTCATTCTAAAGAACATGCCTCTTTAATCAAAGCCTGTCACTCGAAAAGGTGCATCTATGAACGGCAAAGTGCAGAGTCGGGCTTATAGTGGGTGATGAGCGAAGAGGAAGAAAAAGACACAAACAAAGAGGGAGGAGGAGGCGGTGGATATGTGGATGTTTAGTAGATGAGGGAGGCTGGCAGGGTACCTGAGTCTGCTGGGGGATATTCAGAAAGTTGTCCCGTGTTCCGATGCCGACAAACCGGTTGGGAGCTGTGGAGCCTGGCGTGGAGTATGCTACAAACAGAGAGATACAAGTGTGTACATGCTTTTACACACACGCATACACACTCAGCCTGTAATAGAGTCTGATGCTCTCATCATTGTTTTCTTTAAGACTGAATATAGAGATAATAAACCTGCTAAGGGTGTGACTGTATATTTCTGTCAAAGGAGTTTCGTGGAAAAGTCGTTAAGAGGGAAGAATGCTGATTCTTCATTGGATAGTAGTTATTTGTCCACATTGGCGGCAGGTTCCTTTTAATATATTTAAACCCACCATTTAATTGTTTTTGAAGGAGGGGCAAACAGTCTGCAAACAGACACTCCTCAGCAGCCCCCTGGCCTCAAAAATTAGAAGCCACTGGGTTTCCAGAAAACCAGTGAGAAAATAGTGTGGACGTCACATGGAGGAACACTACTCATTGATATTTATAAGTAATTCACAATTAACATAGTAAGGGCCGGATGGGGGGAGAGGGTAAGGGGCGGGGGGGGGTACCACTCAGTTAAGCCACAGGACCAAATTTAGGGCAGTTGTGCTAACAGGACTCCAACATGGTGGCTGAGAGGAACCTTTGCTGTGCTTGATCTGAACGAGTAGAGGGGATGGGGATGCGTAGGGGTGACAGTGACAGGACTGGAAACTGATGCATGTGTGAGCGTTACCATATGCATCTGTATGCATGTTTACATGTGCTTTATGATTATTATTAAGATATACAGACAAAAAAATTAAAGGGAAAGAAAAACTTTACAGTGATAACAGTCATCAGGATGAGGGGGAAAAAAAATGACGAAATGCCCCCGTATTTATTTATATAGATGTTAATATAAATAAATAGGTCTGACAGGTTAATCTGAGACTGTAGGAAGAAGCTGAAATGTAAGGAAGAGAAGAAAAAGAAGGAAAAAGGAGCCCCGGTTGCTCTGTCCAGCGCCCCCTCCTGGTGTGCCTCTCCCATGACCCGACTCTTGCACCGCACCTGTTTGGGATGGAACCAACCAGAGCCTCACCGCTCTCAGATCACACTCCTCTTACGCACTCCCCCAGCATAGCACTAATTAAACAGGTTTGATTAGATTTTCCTCTTCATGTTTACAGACATTCCTTCTTCTTGCAATGATGTGATTTTCTTGTCTAGTTTGTTCCCAATTTTTAATTGTTATGAGATTTGTGTGAAAATGGCGAGGGGATTGCTTTTGTGAAGTGGGGCATGGAGTCTTTTTGGAGTCGACGCCAACTGCCCTAATTTTGTTCCCTTAAAAATGAAAAGGAGAAAAATAAAGGAAAAATGAAACAAAGAAAGGAAAATATGAGCAAATATATATATATATATATAAATACACAAAAAAGAAAGGAAGAAAGCAAAAAAGAAATGAGATGAGGGTAGATTGTATTGCAGATGTCAGAGGGACATGCAAAGGCTGCTTTGATCAAAGGCTTGGAGCAAGAGAGGAAATAGGCTCTGCTCTCCTTTTGCAAACTACCAAACATATCCAAAAGAAAGGAGAGAAACTACACTGCCTCTTGTGGAGCAAAGAGGAAATCTAACACCAGAGAGAAAAAGAGGGAGAGAAAAGGTGGAGGAAGGAAGCAGAACTGGTTTGCAAAGGCATGGAGAGAGAAAAGACGACTGAATTTCAAAGCGTGGAGGAGTGAGCCCCTTTCAGACATGAACTGCTTTCATTAAACTGGACGGCATCTGTGCTCCCTATACAACCATTTCTGACATGCTCCTAATCAGGCTGTCTAATTTAGCATTTTGGATGCTAAAGATGGGGCAGACATGTGATGATTAAAACATTACCCCTAGTGGTGTAAAAAAAAAAATAAATACTGATTTTTACTAGATCATAAAGCTAAATTTTATTTCTGTTAGAGGACTCAGTTTCTTAGAAAAAAAGCAAGTTATTTTAATTTTAAATATTAACCTTTTTTAGCTGCTACTGTTTATTGCTGCTATAGTTTAGTCTGCAGTGCATGTAACGTTCTAATAGGCATGTCTATGGCAAAACAACATGTATTTATTTGAATGAAAGTCCCAAATCTAGTAGGCCTTCAGTATAACATCTACATATAAATAGATATATATGTACAGTTTGTGCACACAGTATCTATGTCCATCACTGTTTAGATGATCTATTATTAAAACCATGAGGTAAGAATAACATGAATGTGACCCGAATGTATGAATACATGAATTATGCCTTTTATCAGCTTGATGAAGGCATTAATGCAACAAACTCATGTCTGAAAAGGGCTGCAGAGAAGCATGACAGAGGATCTCTGGTTTGGCAAAGGCGTTGGCTTCTGGCCTGACAATGTCACTGGTTGCTGGTACACTTAGGTAGTCTACATTTGATAAGAGGAAGGCAAGCAAATCTGCAAGTTTCCTGGGGGCTGCTGGGTGTTTGAGCAGACTGCAACCTAATGGAAAACTCAAACCGCTAAAACTAACCACTGCCAGAGTAGCCATAATAGAGGTTCCAGATATTTCATACGTTTATTAAAGAATTACCAAAATAAATGGCACAAAGCGATACCACCCATAACACTGGAACTTCTATGATGGCTGCACTTGTTTGGGTCCAACAAACTTTATGTTCTAGGATGGCTACTGAATAAATTTACTGCAAATTTTGGCTTGGACAGGCTTGCATTTTTGGGGGAGACTGGGCATCTTTTGTGGAGGGGAGTGGGAAGTGACTTACACGGCGATGCGGGTGAGCTGAGTCCACCGTCAGTGGGCGTGCTGATGGTTTTAGAGTCGGGCATAGGGAGGGGCACAGGGCGCGCCACCGGGGGTGGCGGGGGCAGCAGGAAGGAGCCCGGCATTTTGCTCTGGCCACCTCCATTTGGCTGCAGATGGACCATACAGATAGGATGAGGAGGGCACACCCCAAGAATATACAGTGGACAGGGAGCCTTACACACTCACACACACACAATCCCTTGCGAAGAAGTTTCTTCACATTCTGTTGTATTTAAACTACAAAGTTCAATGAATTTTGTTAAAATTTTATGTGATGGAAGAACACAAAGTAGTACACAAGCCTGAAGGAAAATTCTATGCGGTTTTCCAGAATTGTATTTAAATAAAAATCTTAAAAGTATGATGTTTATTTATTCCTTTTACTCTGATATCCTTAAATAAACCAATGGTCTTCAGAGCTAATCTAAAATGTAAACAGAGCCAATCTATGTTATTTAATGTAGTAAATATAGCTGTTCTGTGAAGGTCTCGGAGGCCTAAACAATAGATTGGTTTGGATCAAAAGCATTTTAATAAGTTACACTGGCCAAGTCAAAGTACAAAAGTAAATCCAATTTAGATTTTTTTATAAGACTTTAAAATGACTCATCACAAATACCAATTAGATTGAACTTAAGAGATTTAGCAAGTAGAATTGGCAAAAAAAAAACTTGAAAAGCTATCCTAAAAGTATAAAAAAATATAAAATATTGACTTGGTGTTAGTATAAATGCTCAACACACTTACTAGATTGCATTGAAAATTAACAACTATGTCTAATTTTTCTAATAGGTATGCTCTACTTTGTGTTGTTGGTCTATCACATAAATCCCATTTAAATGTTTAGAAGATTTGTGGTTTGATACAAAAGGTGAAAAAGTGCAAGAATACGAAAAGGCACTGTAAAGATACCATTAAGTTGTTGAAAGTGATTGAAATACATATACAGGATTAAGTTTTGCAAATTATCAAAGTGATGAACATTATCTCACACACAGGGGAGAAAGACAGATGGTGTGATTAATTTAAGGATAGTGATGGATTGTTAGGAGAAGTTATAGTGAAATGTAGGAACTGGAAATTATAAAAAAAGGAAAATCAGCACTGTGTGCAAAGGATGTCTGTCTGGATGAGTGTCTGTGCCTTCAGTACATGTATGTTACAGATAAAATGATACATAATTTTTAGTTTGAAAAGCAATGAGAATAAATGTTTAAAGATAAAAAGACAAGGCTTGATAAGTCAATGTGAAATTCAAAAGGTCAAGTTTACAGTAAAGGTTTACAGTACTACTTTGCACTTGTGTCAGAGCATATATAACCTTCCCTCAAGGGTCAAAAAGTTAACCGTCTTGACAATAAAGCTGGGCATGCTGTTGGGCTAGCAGAGGTACCATAAACAGATTTGTGTATGCAACCCCAAAGCAGCTCCCTCTGAGCTTCCGAGAGCTTTGGCATTTAGTTTATGCCTCGTTCCAAATAAACACTTACCCGAATGTTGTGTTTCAGTAGATCGGCACAGAGGGCAGCTCTCAGATATCTAATGCTGAATTGCTTTGTTCCATTTATATTACTTGATCCCCTACCAGGCATTAAGCAACAAAATCCTCATGCACTGCCAAATAGATTGTGACAGGTGTTGTGTATCTTGAGAGAACACTGTTTCAATACAAAACAGTAAAATTGTAAAAAAAAAAAAAAAAAATGTCATATGATCATAAATATTTGTTCCTCGAGTGCACCTCTATACTTAAAGGTCACATTTGGGTTCATTCCATGGATAATTACTTCTACAAACAGTACAAATCTTAATGCTGCTACAAATCCTCAGCTGGCTTGCCCCAAGTTTGAAGCCCTGCTGCTCTACAGCTGATCAAATGCCAGTTGCCAGTTCTGGCCAAAACCTCTATTTGCACATCTGATAAACAAGATCTCTTTCAGACCAACTGCAGAAGATGTAGAATGTACTGAATCTTAGAGTCAAAGGTGATTTGGATCTTTCTCCTATTTGTTTGTGTTACTACGCTGCTCAAAATGTTCCTTTAATTCAGTAACTTGTGATTTAAATCAGTTTCCTTTGCGTGAGTTTGCGTCACAAACTACGATGCTACATAGCACAGCATTTCACAGTCAGCCCTCCAGAGAAAAAAAAATCACCTACCTGTGCACTGGGCTGTCCTGTGCCATCTGTGCACACAAACTGCACAAAATCCTTAAGTGGGTCCTGGTGATGGTAGCGTATGGTAGGATGGGTGAAGTATGGGCTGGACTGCTGGATGATAGAGGAGGAAGGGAAGTGCAGGGCTGAAGCTGAGGCACGAGGGCTCCCTAAGAAAAAAAAGGCCATATAAAGCAAAACAGAGAAAAGAGGAGGAAGAGAAAAGTAAGGAGAGGATACCAAATCAGGTTTTTATCATCAGAAACAAAACAAAGATAAGATACTCAACAAATCAGCTACTTACATTAGCATGCAGTATTGCCAGTGTGTCAATATTTAGGACAGACATATGTCCTAAATAGAGATGCACTGGTCTAAAATGTGGGGACGATTTCTTACTTTTGTACATCTTTAACCTAGCAATTTTAACACATTTCTATTTCTTTTGAAGAACTAAAGTAAGAAAAGCATTCAAAATATTTTTCCAACCTGATTGGTGGTTAATAATTGTTTTTCTTAGGAGCGATGATGAGGTCACGCCATGGGTTAAAGAGCAGTCACTTTCTAATAGGTTTTTATTAGTCATCTATAACAGGAAAATGACTATAGAGTTCACAATTTAAAAGGTCTTTAACATCTTAAAAAGCACTTAGTGTCTTTAGCTTGACTCAGTGTGTATTCCCTTGAGAAGGTAGACCTTAACTCTGAGTTTTCCCAAACGCTGCAAACATTTCCAAATCCAGCATTTTCTTGTAACATATTTTTATAGCTCAAAAGGATAAAGCAAATCAACTTCGTCTTTGTCCTCCCATTTGAAGTCTTGCTCTCTTTCACTATATCACAGCCTAAATGAAATGCAGAAACATTGCAACATCTTGTAAAAAATATGGTAGCTTAAAATGGCTAACTCACTTTTTTTCACTCAAAGCTACATCGACACAAAAGAGAACTGCTAGTGTGACCTGGCAGTGTACAGTGCATTCACTGATTGAAAATAAAAGTCACCAGTCAGAGCTTATCAAGCTGTGGATGGATTCCAACCACCTGCCTATGTCTTGGTGCATGTCTAGTTTTAACTGCATCAAGGTGCCTGCTCAACTCAAGAGGTTTCTGTGGAACTCCCATAAAGCTAGCTTATCTTTACAATCCACAGTGTCTGCTAAATTATCTTCTACTCCATCTTCATTTCCCCTTCTCTCTCTCTTGCTCTCTCTCTATTGCCCACACAAAGTAACCACAAGGGTTTACTGGAGCTTCAAACTCACTGGGTTTTTCCACTTTTGTTTTATTGCTTGTCAGTGATGTGCAATCCATCAGGAGCACATCCTTGTGTGGTTCTGCCCAGTAGGTTGAAGCTTGGGAGAGAATTTCCCCTCTGCCCCCAACCAACCACAAAACACCTCCCAGAGACATTAGTCAGCGAGTCAGCCAACCACAAAGACACGCACACACAAAAACACACACAGGTTCAAATCAAACAAAAAACTAGATTGCGCTCTCTCCGCTGTGATTCTACGGTTTTGATAAATGGCTCAGCTAACTGGAGACACAAGCAGCTATGCTGGGGAAAACCTGGAGAACTTAATGTGAATTATTCCAAGTAAGCTTGTTAACCCTTTTTGTTTGTATTGTTGATATTTTTTCCACAAGTAATCCTGTGGCCTGGATTACATTCATGACTGTTTTATTTGTGTTGCTCTGGTTTTCATGTGTTTGATTTATTTATTTATATACGCTTATTAGCGTATGTGAATGTAATTGCGGCCATGATGGCTGACTTTCTAAGCTGGTTTAATGAGGCATCAGCCGATTTGGCAACTCCCTATGCCAGTCTGAAGCCAAAATCCAGGTGTAAACTATCCAGTCCGAACCCCAGAACAGCCACTCTTACAAGACCTCCACAGCAATGACTAACAGCTTCAACACTTCCAGAGCATGCCGTGAAGCCCCGTTAAACCTTTTCACTTTCTACCCTGCCTACCCCCATCTCTCTTCATTCCTCCCTGCCATCATCCTCCAGTATGTTTGTGGCACCAAGGCCTTCGGGGGACATTCCATTTGGATGACAGCCATTTTTACACAGAAAGTCATCCATAAAAGTGTAAATTCACACAAACATGCAAGTGTGTATCGATGCGTAGGTGCGTAAATGCACTGAGGCACAATCTGTGAATACTGTGTCATTGCAGCCTATCCATATTATAAAAAGCTCCTGGCAAGCAGTTCTCTTACAGTTTTGAAGAGTGTATGAGGGTAGCTGAGTAACAAAGGAAGCAGAGATATTCCCCCAACACTTTACACACATCCCAACTCAACATTCAACCTAGTGTTTTGGATTCTTGAGGGGACCTGAGACTGCACTGTACAGATAAACAGCATGTCTTAATTGTGCATATCCTGACAAGAATGCATTTTCTAAATATACTGTAGGGAGCTCCACAAGCAAAATTCAATACGGTTTAACATGGTGGCCAATGCGTTTAAGTGACCTTTACATGGCAGCTCTGGCTTGGCTGCAGACCAACCTACCCCTCTGAGAGACAAATGGAATGGGGGGGGCAGGCACTGAGAGAAGAGGACATATTTATTTCTTTGAAAAGTGAGACCATTCCACAGGGACTTTTTGGCAAACTGGAGATGCTAGAGGGAATTCTGTTAGAGATACTATGTTTGTTACCCTTTCAGGCCAGGAAGCGAGAAGAGGACAACTTACCCTAACTACTGAAGTAATATTTTGGTAACTCTAGAAAATGTCTTCCACTGCACAATGGACCTGGTGTAGCTCACATACTGTGTAGCCTAACTACAGATACACTGAGAAACTGGCTAGTGACTGATGTTAGTTTGAAATTTAAAAAATCTCAACTTGTTCCGATTAGTGAAACTAATAATTGTAAGTGCTACTGGTATCATTGACAACAATATTGTTTTGGCATGTGCGTAGAAGTAGACCTAACATTGCTTTCAGTGTATTAAAATTGAGTCAATAATTTTAATAGATGTAGAAAGGAAACTGAGGCATGGTGGCTGTTCATTTAAGTTACAACAACAGAGAGATGGGCATGTGCTGGTTATGCTACTTTTCAAGTTTCTCGAGACTACATATAGACTTGTGTACAGTTATTGATGCCCGACTCCAATTTTTAATCTGGGTCTCCTACACAAGTTTCAAAATTCTACACTGCTTAATTCAATAGTTCAAACACTTAATATAACTTCATCTGAATTAATACACACAGTGGAAGCTTGGTACAAACACAGAAGCCAACATTAACAGTCTTCCTTATCTCAGCTCTTGGGGGTACAACCTGTCTTCACTGAGAAAAATGAACTGGACTCCTGGATTGGCTGGTTTGTAATACCAGCCTGGATATTTGAGAGGAACATTTATAATGGCAATGCTTAAAAAAACTAGGCTGTCAATGCCACCTAGAATTGTCAGGCTTAATAAAAAAAAATAAAATAAAGTCCATGTTGTCTAGAACCCCAAAATGCTTTAAAAATAGAAAGAAAGTCCTTGAAGTAAAGAAATTCCATCTTCTCCAGATTTTATATTGCTGAAAATAACTTAAAATGTCTAATCTCAAAAACCTACCATGTCTGCTGCATCAAGAAAAGGTTGAAAAACGTAAACCTACATTAGAATTGGGTAAGTATATGTAAAAAAGCAGAAAATAGGAATTCATTGGGTTTAATGTACACTGTGTAAAAGCTAGACCTTGTTATTCAGCCTTGTTGTCTCACATTTGAAACAAAGAAAGTTCCTGTTTCCACTTAAATGCCGTACAGCTCCATATGGTGAAGTGTTTACATCCATTCAAAGTCATTCCTTCAGAGCAAAAAGCTTTGTCGGTTTAAATGCATAATCCGACCTTGACAGACATTAAAACAAATCCATGGAGCAGTAAGATGAGAAGCAAATCATTCACAGAGGCATGGATGCAGCACTAGTACCATGCAATGATAATATTAAAAACACAAGCACAAAGATGGTGGTAATAATGGATGGATGGAGAAAGCCTGAAAGAGAGAGAGAGAAAGAGGAATTTATGCCAACCATTATGATTGCAGCAACAGTGAATATGTGAAACTCCACAGGCATGTTGCTTCTCTACAGTTTGTAATTGAGGAACTGGAAGGTTTTCCTTTTTTGTTAATTCACCAACCATAAGCTCAGGATTTAAATTTTCAGACGCGACTGAGGACTTCATTTTGTTTGAGTTGCAGAATGTAAATGTGGTAATCTGGAATCAAGTTTAAAACTCCCTTTCTTTCTCTCTCTTTTTCAGATTTTAAGGGGGGTGTTGGGGTTGTTGGTTTCATGGCAGGGCTCTCACCTGGTCTCACTCCTGCCAGCACAGGCAGCGGGTGGTGTGTGAACGCCATGCGGGGGGACCTCGTCTGGGAAGTCAGGGCGTTGAAATCAAACTTCCCCGGCTTCTTAAGTGAACCAGGCGAGGACAGTCCTGACGGAAAAAAAAAAAATGGGATCAAAAATAAAATTGGGGGTAAAAGGAAGAAAAAAAGAGAGGTTGTTTTAATCAAGAAAATGTTGCTCTTTTTGTTAGCTACACTGAAAAAAAAATTATCTGAATTTCATGGAGGGGGGCTTGAATAAGTATGATTTTGAATGATTTTCCTCCGGTCAGTATAATCAAGGGTATAGTCAGGGTGTTTTCAAGTGAAGCTCTGTGAAGTTATCAGTAATAGAGTCCATACCTGAACTAAAAAGTTATATCACTGTGAGTTTGTAGAAAACTGAAGTGAAATAAAAAATAAATCCTTGGATTCTCCTTGGAGAAGAGGAAAGCTAACGGCAAGTCGGATGGGTGATCCTGTTTTAGCTAATTTTAACAGTTTGTAACAATTTTATTACCCACTATCTAAACAACTACATATTCACAAGACAACAATAGGTTTGTAGCTATGTGTTTTTAAGTTGTTATTTTTGTGTTGTCCACATTGCTGCACAAGTGACAGCATGCCACCAAATCCAAAGGTTCACTGCATTGTCGGCAGACTTGGTACGGCCTGCTTGAAGCTGAACTGGCACATTAATACAGTTAGCAGGTTCTGCCAACATATTAGAATATTAATGTGGATGTTGCTCAGCTGAGAAAGCAGTAACAAACTTGTTGTAATGATCTCTTGCAATAAAACATGTTTAATACTTAGCGTAACATAGCAAAAATGAAAGATTTTCAGTTTGAGTCATGTTGAGTAGCTAAATTCCGCTAAAACAAGAGTTGCCGTCTGGCTAGGAGTTAGCTTTCCGCCGTCTCTGTTGTTTTCATAACCTTTTAAAAAACTAACTGTTGCATAGCATCTTTTTAAATACAGATAAGGAAACTCTTACTGATAACATCACAGAACCTCACTATAAAGAACCCAACCTATTCATTTATGCCAATCAAGACTACAAGTGACCAGACAATGTAAAAAAAAAAAAAAAAAAAATTGCTGAGAGCTAATATTGGAGCTATTGTTGTACAAATGAGAGAGAACGAAAGATACAGTATAGTCTTATAAAAGGGGCAAGGAAATATTTTAACAATAAGCCCAAAATATATCTTTACAGGAAAAAAAATGATTCTATCAAAACTGAATCTGGTCTTTATTTCAATGCAAAGGAACATCTGTATCTTATATAATCTCAACTCTCCCACAATATGCTTTTCAGATTTAATGTTTCTCTCTCTCTTCCAGGTGCCAATATTAGGGTTTCTCTGTCTATGAGTGCAGTTACAATGCAGCCACATTGAACTAGCAGTGGTCTGGCTTCAGCCGCGCACACAGACTGGCCGCACTATGAGACAGCTTCATTCAGAAATAGCACGTACTGTACAGTATGGACACAGCAGCTGGTGAGTGTGAAAGACAAGCAGACGGACAGAGAGAGGAGACAGAGGGAGAGAGGCGAGAAGAATGTGAGAGACATGAAAATATGTGAAGGAGCAAAAGAGCAAAGCAGAACCTGTGAAAAATGCAGCAGTGTCTTTTTTTTCTTCTATGCATTGCTCTGACAACATGTATGAAATTGAAATGTCATAAGATGTTAAATATGGTTATTATCTCTTGCGCGCACGCACTCACACACACTGAAAAGACTGCTATGTTTGACTGATGCAACAAAAGACATATTTCTTCCCCTGTAAGTTTTGTTCTAATCTTCCAAATAAGTGTGCGGTGTGATACAGATTTCTTCCTAAACTTTTTTGGACTTTTGTTTTGTAGTCTATTTCTGTGGCCCCTCCGCGTCATACAAGGCATTAAATATGATTTCTCCTCAGTTCTCCAGCTGGAGACGTGTGAAAGTCTATTGGAGTGTGGAGGCGTGTAAAACCTTCCCTCCCTGTGTGAAAGAGTTAAGTCTCAAGCAGGTGGGAGTGAATTCGTGTGAACCATTTATGTCTTTAGCAGATATTTATTCCCCCCACATCCCTCCTCACCCCACATTAGCACAAGTCTGGGGGCGTATTGTACTGTCAAAGAGATTCCAAGCATGAAAACAACCCCAATCCCACTTCTGACACCAGCAGTTAGCAATGATTGCTATGACACTGTCACACTTGAGGGAGAAAGGTGGAAATAAGAGCAGTCTGCAGAGACTGAGAGACGGAAAGACACCGCAGAACATAGCTGGGAAAAACCGACACATAAACTGGGGAAAGAAAAACTTAAGAAATAAACTGTAGTGGTTTCGCTTGAGTAGAGATGAGTAGAGATACTGTATTTGAAAGGTACAAACACAGTACCTTTCAAAAATATTTTGAAATACTATTCATATTGCCTGAGCTTTACGTTAACAGAAAGTACTGCATAATTTATGTGGAAGGAAAATATTATAAGGTCTTCAACATTGTTAACAAAAATATAAACTAATAGATCTGTGTGCAGCACTGCCACAACATGATACTGCTGACACCACGTTCCATAGCAGTCTGTTTAGGGTAATGTAAAGTTTAGTTTTCCTCCACACAAATCCCTTTATTAAGTACATTATAAATTTCACTTTGGGTTTACCTTTCCAGTCCACCTTCTTCAGTTTAGGTGGACGGCCATGCCTTGGTAGTATTGCGGTTGTGGCATACTTTCCATGTTCAGAATGGTTTTTAAGAGTTGTGTTAAAATTGTGTTAAGTGCAAAGCTTGGTTTTAAAATCTAACCCTGGTTTAAACTCCTCTACAGCTTTCTCCCTGACCCGTTTAATGTGAGTCGTGGACTTCAAGATGCTATTAGTTCACTCAAGTTGTCTTTAGAAACCTGTCAGGCCTTCGCAGAACATCTGAATTGAATGTAAAGATTAAATTACAGAAAGCCACACTCCATGCATTCAAAATCAAATTCAAAAATACTTTATTGATACCACAGGGATCTGAAAGCAGCTGATTGACAGGATGACAGTAGCTCAGGAGGTAGGGATTCTTTTTCTGGTTGCTGGTTAAAAACCTCGCTACCTGTGTCTCAGTCGTCGTGGCACCTACTGTACGGCAGCCTAGCTTCTGTCAGTCGGTCACAGGGTAGCTGTGGCTATGCTGTAGCTTACCACCATCAAAGACTGAGTGTGAATGACTGAATATAGGGTAAACTGCTACGCAAAAGCAGGCCAAATGCAGGTTATTTGATTGCTTTGGATTTTAATTCGCCTTATCAGAGTATAGAGGCCTTACTAGAAAGACACACCACATTTCTATGATTTGTATTTTGAAGTAAATTGCATCATTTTCCTTCCACTTCTCAGTAATCTGTATTGGTTCCTCAGAAAAAAATCCCCCAAAAATGCAGTGATATTTGTGGTTAAGTGACAAAATATGGGTGTGAATAATTTCACAAATCAGTGTATTTGGGAAAAAGGGCGCAAAGGGAGCCGAAAACGGAAAGTGTTTGACATTTGTGTAGGGGAACTTCTGATAGTATCAGTGAATGTTGCAGACAATATTTCTTCACAGACGGTGCAGTGGTCTGATCTGGAATTATGTTTGTGTGCCAAATTTGCACTGTTTCCTCTTCTGGCACTGCTTAATGTTTCACTGGCAACTAATCAAGCGTTCCCATGATGACCCTTCTGTCTCTTTGCACTAACAGGCCTACCACCAGATGCGCCTCTGAAGAACACACAGCCACAGACACACACATGGTTTTAAAAGACGGGGCATAATTATTACTGCAGGAAAGTTGGGGAATTCTCTCTCCAGTGATTTAAAGCACATATGTGCATTACTGGAAGTCCAGCTGTGTGCTTTTGCGAGTATGCAGCATTTACCTTAAAGGAAGGCCATCACTGTCACGAGTCTCCGGTGTCTCAGGAAAATTTCAAAATAATTTGGAATTAATCTGAAATCATGGTTGCTTCGATAGTCTCCTGTAACCTCCCCCCACCCTTCTTCGCCCCTGTAGAGCAGCTGTCTCTAGCATCCTCATGGATCCCAAGGCTACAAACACACGGAAACACCATCTGGGACTGTGCTTCAGCTGTGTCTCCTTGTGTGTGCGTGTGTGTGTGAGAGAGAGAGAGAGTGTGTGTGTGTGTGCTGGACTGGACTGGGCTGTGTATGTGCAGAAATCTATTTCTGAATCAAACTGTTGTGCGACTTATTTGTGCTAATGCATCTTGAGGAACAGTGTGTGTGGACGTGCGGACGCAAGGGGTTTTCAAGGAAATCAGGGTGAGTGATTGGTGGCACGTAGAGACATTGCAGCGCACCTGCAGGGTCCTTTAATTTGTTTGTTTGTGCTAGAGTGTGCCAGTGAGCTTGTTTGTTTATATACCTCCCACCTGTACAGGAATCCCCATGTGAAAATTGTCAATGACAGGTGGGATTGTTTAGAAAAATCAGACGCACACCACACTTTTAATCCCACATCCGCTCTGTGTTTTTTTTTTTTTTTTTGCTCTCCCTTTACAATAATCCATTGTTTTGTTTCTAGGTTTAACTTGGTAATTCCCCGAAGCTTTCGGCTTAACACATTTTCACTTGAATTTTGCATATTAATTACCGTCTTCGGATTATAAAGATATTTAATTTGATAAAAAAAAAAAAAATCATCAGGAGGTACACGGCTTTTAATTGTGCTGGTATCTTTTCAAAGAAATCAGGTGATGTAAAGCGAGAGAAAATGATAAAAGGTGAGGCTGTGCAGGAAACTCCGTTGTGGGTCCGATGAACAGCCTCTTAATTACATTTACAGCTAAGTGGAACAGAAGCTGAGGAGCAGCCGCCGAGGCTCTAGTGAGAGTAGACAGTGGCAAAACCTATCCAAGACTCTTGGCTCCTCTGCTTCACACTCTAATTAACCCTTCTTCCTCATCAGCTTTCACCAGTTAAAAACACCAAAGTCATCTTCTCTGCCAGCTATCCCTGCTATTCCCACTTGCACTTCCCACTTTCCCCATTTGCTTGCCTAATTTTTGGGTTCTGTCTCCAACCTCTCCTCCTCTGACATGTTTTCTCTCTCTGCGGGGTCCTTCCCACTGTACACCTTTTTCAATTAGACGGAAGGGAGGCAGGGAAGAGGAGCCAAAGTAGGAGCTAAGGAGCTGGAGGATGGATTTTACACCTCAGATCCTCAGGAACATCTTAAGAAATGGATTTGAGGCGATGGAGGGGAGAGCAGCGCAGAGGGATAGAGGCGGAGCAGCCACCTCAACACCTGCAGGGGCGGGGAGCACAGCAAGCAAGTGTGTTGCAATGTGGTAGCGTGGCGGGGGATGGGGTTGGGAGTGCTGCGGGTTGCAGTGTGTTGGGAGGACTTTACATATGTGCAGACCGTCACTGCATGTATGTGTGTGTGTGTGAGCGTAGGGTCCGTATGGATATGACTAAGCCTCTCTGCAAGTGTGCACATGTGAGAGACAAAACAAGTACAAGTAAATATTTTACTGTCAGTGAATGTGTCACGTCAGTATGAGCAAGACGACCTCAAAAAGTTTCACAAGAAGAACTGACAGTTATGAGAGATAAAGCCACTGCTTGAAGGCTCATGAATCACACCAATGAAGCTTGTAAATGGTGCATTGTTCAGAATACTGCTCTCATCCTTTAAGGGCCTCAGCCCTGATTTTCTACATGCTTGTCACATTATGCACACAAACTTCAATATACCTTATTGGGATTGTATGCGTTAGCCCAACACAAAGGAGTGTATAATCGGAAGGTGGAAGAAAAACTATGAATGATGTTCAAAAATTAAAAAATCTGAAAAACGTGTCTTTGATTTTTGATTTTTCACTGGACTTTGACTGGTCCATTGTAACTCATAACTGTGGTTTAGTCTAAAATCATTCAATTGTTGTTGTAGCTATGTATTTAAGCTTGTTGTGATGCTGAAGAAAGGCATTATTGCCACCATGCTCACGGTAATGTGCAGTGTTAATTCTCTCACAAATATTGTTTTGCATGTAGGCCAAAAACTCCAGCTGTGCTCTTGTCTGACCAGAGCAGATTGTTCCACTTGATTGGTGTGTCCTCACGTGGCAAACTGCGAGCAAGACCTCTTCAAGCAATATTTCAACAATGGCGCTGTCCTTGCCTTGATTTTGAAATTATGTATCCTTTTTCTGCTCGCATGACATCAAAATACAAAACAATGAAGATGCTTGTAATGTGAAAAATAATTAAAATGTTTGAGGTAAATTAATTCAGCAAGAAATAATCAGAAATGAAAACATTGTATTGCATGTCTATTTGGCTTGCTATCACTGTCCTTAATGTATTTAAGCAAACACAAACAGACATACAATATGTTTACCTGAAATACAAATATTGCCTACTGTATGTATTGTAAATATATAGAAACACGTACACACATACACATTTACAAAGGAATGACTGTGCTTCATAAAGTCTGATAGATAGTAAATAGATATGAGTGTAATCAATGTTGTTCTAACCATGGTAAGGAAACTGCACGCCATCGTTTTCATGTTTTATCTTCCTCTCCTGCACACTCGCCAAATGGTGCTGCACTGAAAGTGAAGAAGGGTATTGTTAACAATGAGATAGGAGAAGAGTGAGAGAGACAGAAGACAAGAGAAAGAGAGAAAAGAAAGGAGGGCAGGGGAGAGAGAGAATTTGTGTATGATCATGGTAGTGAATGATTGATCATATGCACAACATTAAGGTCAACTTTATGCATGATTATGGCTTTGAGGTGAAGAAATGTGCATTCTCCAGGAAGAGAACTAGACGTGGAGTCGTAGGTTGTTAGAGTTATTGCCTGTAGAATGGGAGAGGGGTGGGAACAGGGTAGTGGGTCTACAGCTTATAGGTGTGCCGATTTTCAAAATCATTGCAGATCAAAATAGCAGCCTATTCCATTAGACCAGAGCCGCTGTCTAATCTAAAAATCAAACTTCCTATTTCAAAGGATTTCTATTTAAAAATATTTCTGTTACAGTATGAGGCAGGGTACTACATAATGTTGGAGCTTAACAACATTACCCAATCAGAATCTAGAATTAGCTAGCGTAGTACCGCAGCCCTATCTTGGTTCTAGATCAATACCAGTGTTCACCAATTATGACAAATTGTTGACTAATTACATAGGAGTGTTTCTTTTTCTATGAATTAAATGGCTATTTGGGTGAGTGACTGGGAGGTTTTCGAGGGTGCTCAGGAGTACTACGTGAATCACCAGCGTGAAGCAGGCCGATTGATTTAGGACGCGTGGATTATCATTCTTGGGCTTTTGTGGTTTGGTGGCGGTCAGACAAGAGAGTGCAAAAGTTTCTTCATGCTCAGGTAGTGGGTGACAGGAGCAGGGTGGGATGGAGTGGATACCTGCATCCATGTCATTAGGCCACGCACTGGACTGGGAAGAGCTGGCAGCAGGTGAACGTCCAGGATAAAAAACATCATCCGTTGGGCTCTCCAACTCACTGTCATCTAAGGACTTCCTCTTGGTGGAGCTGAAGAAAATGGGAAGACATTTTCAGGGAGAAAGAAAACAAAAAAAGAAGAGAAAAAGTGTTTTTTTTTCTCTAAAGCTATCATACAGGTCTAAACATAAATATAATACTTAGCAACTTTATGAGTTATGAAGCGGTCACATAGACAAATTTCAATTTCAGTTCATTTTAGGAGCCAATATTTTTAAAGCAGATCAGACAAAACAGAAAAGAAACACAGCAGCAAATGTGTAGGAAAAAGGGTAGAAAAAAAGAGGAGAGTGCCTTTTTATGTCTCAAAATTTTTGATCTTTTAGGTTTTTATAACTACCTCCGTGGAAGATTTGCGTACAACTCCACCTCAGACCTAAAGTGACAGCAGACGACAGAAGTAAGGAGACAGAAAGAGAAAGAAACAAAAGAAGAATAAAGCAGAAGAGCAATCACATTCATAAAGAGGAAAGTCGATAACAGACAAACACACACAAACATATATAGAAATTTAGAGGAGCTTTGGATTCATTACAAGCTGAGCTACCAAAACAACTCTTTATTGACAGCAAATATCTGTCTTTAGCATTAGAAAATCTTCACAGTAAAAAGTTACTGCCTGAAAGGCATAAACTCAGATGAATTTGTATAGCTGGCAGTGTTTCAAAACACATTTGAATTAGTTTTCTTTTGAAAGAGGAACATTTATGGAGTAGTTAAAAAATGATGTGATTGTTTTACCAAAAACAATTTGTACAGATTCTACCATTATTTTCTGCCAAAATAAATAAAAGACAAACGAACAAAAAAAAAAAAAAAAACATATATTAAATTTTGACTGTGATAACTGCTGTGTGGAGGCGGTACAATTGAAAACAGAGAAACTGTGATTTAATTGTTTATTTGAAATGTCAGAAAATGATGTTATCAGAGAATGGTGATTATAGTGATTATTAATCATTTGCCAGAGGGAATCTTTTGGTAAATATTTTTAATGATCAGAAGCAAGTCTGTAGGCAACTAGTATGGTTCTTTTATCAAATAAGCATTCCTCCAAAGCTTTTATCGTCTACAGTGACATGCTTTAACTGCTCAGCAGCAGCATGAGATTTTCACTGTATGATAACCCTGAGAAAAAAAAATACCACAATTCCAGTTTTTCACAGTATAAGATTTTAAAATGTATAACCTTATCAAACTATTTTTGTTTTAAATCTAAAATTATATTTAAATCTATTGATGCTAAAACATAAAGGCTTGTTTGCTACAGCTGTTATTTATAAAATGTATTTATTTGTATTCATACATATTTTAAAACAGAATATATATGTCATGAATTTAATGTAAGTGTGGTGCAGTGTGGAACAATAGGCACAGGAGGAGCTGCACTGCACACAGTCAGAGAGAAAACTTATTCTCTGGCATCTTATTAAAATGACTTAAAATGTAGGAATGTTATGATGGGGAATATAATTTTGAAATTCCAATTCTTTTAAACTTTAACACAACTTAACATGGGTAACTGGCCCATGTTTACTCTGGACTGAGCCACATACATCACTTAACACCCAATACTGCCATTGTGTGTGTTTGTGTGTGTGCGTGTGTGTGTTTGTGTGCGAGTAAAGTGATGTGTGTTTACCTGGTGGAAGGAGGGGAGGTGAGTGAGCGCCGACCCAGAGCCACCTGGTTAATGTTGTAGTAGCTGGGGCTGCTGTCCAGCTCAGCCAGTGAGAAGTTGGGCCCTGACGCCGTGGCTACAGGAGCTGAGGAGGAGCAAAAGAGAAGGAAGAAGAGAACAGAAATGAGAAGAAAATAGGAATATGCAAAATATGAATAAAGGTAATTTGTTTTTCAAGATGTTAATCTAGGAAATAAGAAAACAGCATCAAAGAGAACATTATTGATTATACTCATTTTTTTCCATAGAAAAACTTTATCCTGGTACAGTTCCTGGAAACTACAAAACATACTAGAGGGAACATAATTCTTCTTTGTTGCCTTTAAGACATAAATAACTCACTCTGTGACACTCTGACTAGCTCTGCCACATTCCACACTCCTGAGGTGACGAAGCAGTCCTGGAAACTCAGGTGTCCTGTACAGAAAGAACATGAAAGCAATATGCAAATTTGTGGTCTTGAAGTAATTTTCTTTGAGGAGGCTACTATTGCAAAATCCCAGTTGATCAACATCTATGAAGGCTTGTCTGTTACCAGAATCCACAGCTGGACGACATTGAAGCAAACAGGCATGATAAAACCAATTGTATTATGCCAATTTATGAGTGTTTAGATATGGAAATGCACAGACGGGTACCTACCATTGGGTGGTGGTTTGATGTCTGTGTCTCCCTGTTGGCTGGAGCTGTCTGATTGTCCAGATTCTACATGGCAACAAGCACAGAAAGAGAAAAGACAAAGGTTCATCATGGGGTTTACATACTTAAGAAACATTCAGTGCTTTACTAATTCCAGCTTTTTGAAATTTGAGGTGTGAGAGAAAATATGAAAAACCTGCAGTATGTGCTAGAGTATGTTATACATCTTGTAAATTTATATCTGTGAATTCACACATCCTTCTTGCGTGCGTGTGAGTGTGTGTGTGATTTTCTTGTGTCTAAGAATGTTCTCTCCTGCTGGTCCTGTCTGTGCACAATCAAGGTGCAATGATTTACAGTGTGCTGCCACGGCATTTAGTATCTAACCACGTAATCGTATCACTCACCCTAATCCTATTTAATACCTTCTTGCTTGTAGGGATTTGGTCTACATAAGCAGAGCACCTTACACACACATATGTGAACATGTGCACACAAACGCCTGGCCTCTCTCTCTCTCAATCTGCTTCTCCTTTAGTTTCTGCTTCATACTTTAATACATGTTGTAATCCTTGTATGATCGCACATACACATGCTTACACACTGAGATAGCTACAGGGAAAGGCTGTACAATGTCAGACCACCATGGGAACACATGTTAATAATATTAAACAATAAGTCTAGACTTATGATATGAGGAGTGACATGTTGAAAAAGGACATCGAAGAAAGTATCACAAAAAGTATTGCAAAAAATAGGCCTCTATGCCAATATTTGTAGACATAAAACACAAACTGTAGTGTTGCACATATGTTCCTATAGAGAATATTAAGTCAATAAGACTGATCTCCATGTCCTGGGCTAGTGAGGTATTGGTAAAGGTAATGGCTGTCCATTCAGGCCTTGCTAGGCTCCTGCTAGCAAGCAAGCTAAAGGAGGTGTTTATCTGCAGGCTGTAGGTGATAACAGAGCACAGAGATTCCTGCCAGCAGCACTTGCCTTGCAGCCACACTAAGCCACAGATTACTGAGCAGAAACAATAACAGACCTGTCTCGCTGCCTACGACACACTGCTTATCCTCAGAGAGAGAAAGAGAGGGAGAAAAAGAGGGCTAGACTGAGACAGACAAGAGGAAGAATGAAGGAAAGAAAGAGCAAATGAAAGAGAGCTTCTCTTGCTGAAACTCTCGCTCCTCTGTGTGTCTCTCACAGGCTGGGTGTAATCCTGGCAGCCATCTTAGAGCTTGGCAGCCATCTTAGTATTGGCGGCAGTGCAGCATTCCAGCTAACTGACAGCACTCGCTCCAAACATACGTGGCTGTGCCCCCGCCGCGCACGCACCCAGACACATTTAAACACACACGCATACGTGGACAAACACTGAGGTAGGCTCTTAGAGTAAACATATACCATGGCCAATGAAAGCTGTTGAGAAAACAACCTGACTTCAGTGGACTTTTTACCGTCATGTAGTATTTCACACAAGGACTCTATAATACTATAAACTCTCTGTCTCACACCACAAATGCATCGGTAATATCCAGCTTTCCATACAGTGTGTGCAGTGTTAGTAGCAAAAATGCTGGCATACAGTTTTCACAACATGGCTGAGCTAATGCTTTGAAAACAATTTTGTTAGTAAGGAATTGTGTTAACATTTTTTTCAGACACGATGAGATTTTATGAAATTCCTACATTATTGTTAAACATTTTGAAGAGGTTTTCTCAATTATGACTGTAGAAAAATTACATTGTTGTTTACTATGGTGCATTTTAGACAGGCTACAATATACTCTGAGTCCCTGCTCTGTGTTATTATTGTTCTTAAATCAGGCAACTTTCTCTGTAAACAAATAAAATCTCAGATGTAAAATCTATCCATCCTCGTTCTGCCTTGTCCAGGGTTGAAGGTGAATGAAGCTTTCCTAGATGCCAGCAGGCGAGATCCTACAAACTCTCTCACCTGTGGACAGGTCGACAGCTGATCTCAATACTCAAATGACTATGTATGCTCACAATCAGCAATTTCTATTAAATCCATCAACGGCATCTGGTTGTCTGGCAATGCTTCAAGGCACAATGCCCAACTATCCTTTCTTCACTGAGAAGTGTTGATAAAACAGAGTTCAAGTCCAGGAATTTCTTTTGTCTCAGTGCAATTTAGCGCCATGCGTCCAATGTGGGACAAAGGTACCACTAGCACACTGAAATTGATGAGACACTCCACAGCACTCCTGATGCGAGTTAGCCTTAAGCTATTGAAATGAAACCCAGATATGAAGATCTGTGCTGCGTGCTTACAACCCTTTATCTATGTTTGAGACTTTTATTTTAATGAAAAAAAAAAAAAAAGAAAGTTAGCTGCCGACATTGATTGCTGTATAATAAAGCATTGAAGAAATCTCCATAACGTTTAAATTTTCTGTGTGGCAGCATTTCAGGTATGTGGTAAAAAAAAAAAAAAAAAAAAAAAAATCACCAACTGGATCTTTAATCTTAAATGATATTTTATCATTTAAGATTGAGATAAAAATGGTCATGTGTCATGATAATGATAAACTCTTTTTAATGTAAACTTGTAAATAAACAAACTGATGTGTTACTAGGAATATTAATGTTGCTGTGTTAGCATTGTAAAAAAAAAAAAAAAAAATATGCGATACTTTTCTAAACATCCCCACCACAGTGCTAGATTTAGTTTCTGATTGGACATTTTTGTATTATCACTCAACTAAAGGGCTATTTTTCTTTTTAAATATTCTGGGCTAAATTTGATCCCATCAAGTCTGAAATGTAAAAAAAAATTGACAGGTTAAAGTACCTAAAAAAGATTATTCTACATTGAACTGAAATTTTATAAAATACGATTTGAGACCGATGAAGAGTTAATTCTATTTTTCAAAAACATAAATTCAGTCATCATATTTTCCTGAAAACAAGTCAGTTTTTCATAAACTCACATTATTGGTAAGCCAAATTAAACTTGGCCATTTACTTCAGGCTACTTGCAATGAACACCACTATGCTCAACTGATCCAAACGTGTGAAAGCTGAAACTCAAGTTAGATAAGAGGATGTCAGTAGTAGAGGAAAAGCGATACCTATCTTCATAATCAACATGTGGTCTTCACAGGTCACACCATGTTTTCTCGCAGTACACAACATATAGAGACAGTGTAACATCTCCTGTGTTTTTTCTTTTATTTCCAAAGCAAAACATTTCAGCAGTTTCATTTCTTTAGCAAAGTTTAGCTAATTTGCGGAGTGCAAACCTTCGCTGGACACTGGAGCTTTCAACAATTGTGAAGTTCAACGACATGTCAGCCAACACACACAGTGCTTACACCACATCACTACATCACTCACTGGAAACAAGTCCCACTGTCGAGTGTGGCAGTGCATCATATAGCTGCATACTGAAGTGAGGAGGACATGGTGAAGGAGGAGGTAAAAGAGGTTTGGTTACTGGTTATCACTGTTCTGCAAGCTGCAGGCTACCAAAGCAGTCACAACCCCCCCATCTTTACCCCCGCCCAGCCTCTGAAGCGCACATCCAGCCCCTTATCTTCTCACCGCAGCCCCCTAAAGCCCTCCCTTCAGCGACCCCAATCAGAGTCCTGCAGCCCCTTTTCCTTAGTTGCCCCACTGCGTTTGCCGCCAACAAACGCATTTTTAACCTCAAATCTTTCAGCCAACTGTGCAGGCCCTTCAAATCAGTGAATTAAAAACAATGCACACAGATAAAACCAAAGCATGACCTAGACATGTACATTAGAGACAAACTGTGCTTATTTTGTGATATCTAACACTGCTTTATTATGATCCTTAAAAAACTATTATGGTGGGTTAATGAATATCTAGTTTTACCAAAAGACCTTCTATGAGTGGTCACCGAAACACAGTCAATGTTTTGTTTATTGGACATTGTAACAAGAAATATTTGACTTGCATTCCCAGATTTTCTACCAGAAAACAAATGGAAAATGCAAGCAGCAACAAGGACTTTGGCGGTGTTCTCCACAAGAGAAAAGATGTGTTGTAAGTGTTCAGATACTTTTCAGTATTCCTACTGTGATGATGTTTTGCCATCATAAAATAAAAAGATACCCGTCTACTGTAGCAAAAAGTTAGGTATCTATTGCCAGTCTGTGGACAGATTGCAATTTGTAATGTTTAGTGAGTAACCTGCATGTGAAATATACAAGTTGGCAAATTATAGTGCACTTTCTTTTTCAGTACATTGTAAAAACATTGTTAAGGTGAACAGTTAATGTGTCAAGTAAAATTGTGTACTGGTTAACAACGAATAAATGCCAGGCTGAATTTAAAAACAAGCTTCTTCTTTTGTTAAAATCAATGCACTATGTGCCAAGAAATTTCACGTTTTTTGCTCTTTTCCCTGTTCTTACAGGAGTTTATTCTAATGTGTGTGTCCTGCACTACGCTTTCCAAACACCCAGTAAAGGATTAAAGAACAACTTATTCGAAAGATAACACACTGCTCCAATTCACTCTAAATTGAGTTGAGTTTATTTTTAGAGTGAAAATGTACAGCAAATGCCAAATCAAGACACTTTACTCGTATTAAGAGGCAGTTCGGCACAAAAACTGGACTTTCCCATTCTGCCACAAATAGTTACAACTACGACCAAATAGCGTACCAAAGCCAAACAAGTGTGTTTCTGAACCATTTTGCTCTCAGAATGTTCTTTTTGAGACAATATTATGTTAATTCCACTTTAATTATGACGTTAAATTTGAAGGAACAATTAGATTTTTTTTATATGTAAATAGCCACTCTATGTAAAGCATATATAAGCAAGTGATATATGGTTGAATATACATTTTATTTATTGCAATTGAAATACAGAAAACATTGTCAGTGAGATAAACTAGCAAATGAAAAGTAAAGCTGTGTAAAAAGTAAAATAGGAGAGGTAAAAGTTTATTTGAACTAGAATCTGTGAAAGCCTTTAAATTTGTTTTGTGATAAGGTGGAGTCACTCATTCACACATTTCCACATTTCTCACATTTCCAGAACTAGGAAAAAATGTACAAGTATTGG